TAATTCTGTGTTTACTGTTCATTTTCTCTCCTGTGAATTCTCACAAGTAGCCTGAGCAGGATCTGACTGTGAACTACAAAATATGTGTATCAAAATTCCCACTGCTCTTGTTATCTAAACTATTCAGTGAGGAACAGAATACCATTTAATTTCACAAGTGATGGTAAAGAATCTGTTTGTGAAGATAATTTTGGAATGTGTTAGGCAAATTAATGCTGGTTAATAAATCTATTCAATACTTTTTCACTAGATGTGAGTTTCACCACATTTATGAAATTACTCCTTTCATTTTCTAACAGTTCCAGTAAGAATTGGGTCTGTGTTAACAGAATTGGCTGCTGAGGCCATAGACAAGAACCTAGACCAGTTTAGTCTCAGCCTCCCCTGTGTAACACTGACTTTAGCCCCAGGTTTGTTAGTCTTCAGACCAGGACCATGCTTGTACTCTGTTTTCATTAACTGCATGTACCCCTGTTTTCCATGTCATTCTTGTTAGCACTTGAGAAAAAAAGGACATTTTAAACAACAATGTACTAAAATATGAATAAATTATTTCTCCTGAACTAGGAAAAACAGCAGAGTTTATAGTAGATGCTTTCTCAATACATCTTCACATTTAAGAATGTTGAACCCTATTAAAAAGTCAGTGGGAATTTAAATTACCAGACCTCTCAAATAATTTTTAAAAATCCTCAAAATATATACATATGTGTGTGTATATATATATATATATATACACCTATGTATACCTTGTATGGTTTTCAATGGAACAACATTATTATTATTATTATTACTATTGAAAGATGATGATGATGATGATGATGATGATGATGATGATGATGATGATGATGATGATGTACTTGAGCAGTGTTAAGCTGACCCACTAAGTTCATTAGGAAGGACTTTGCTTAGTTACTGGCTGATCTGTTCCACTGAAATATTCTTTGACTTCTGTCCAAAAGAGAAAGCTGTTTAGTACATTACATACAGAATTTCAGTAAGAAACAAGAATTTAATGAGGTGTCATGAGAAATGCAGGGGGGTTTTATACACTATTACATGAAATAGGATTAATAATTTTAGGAAATGACCTACAATTATGTAGAAATACAGGAAGCAGGCTCGGGGTGAATTGTTAAAGAAAAGCAGCCTCAACAAAAGTGATTTTTTTGTTTTGTTCAGGAAGTTGCTACTTAAAGTAAAACACTTTGCTTTTAAAATTCAGAATTACATTAATGCTCCCTGCGTGTTCACCGTAGCAGTAAATTACAAAATTTATTACAATTTAGAGTTAAGAAAACAATTTGTTTTTGAGGTATGGTAGCAAGGAGGCAGTGATGAAGAAAATAATGAGTTCATGCAGTATATATGTATATAGCATAGGGGTAGCACTGCAATGCCTGCCCATCAGTACACAGCAACACTTGCACATGGTAAACACTGGAGTTTGGAGGCCACATTCTAACTTGAGACTGAAATCTGTGGCGCTGTCAGTTTTACCCCCGCTGGCAGATAAGCTGCTTCTACCTTTTTAGCCAAGTTCTAATTTTTGGATGAACTTTTCACTCTGCTGCTGCCCCATGTCACCGTGTCAGCTGTGGCTGTGCACAGCTTGCTGTGCTGCCCTTACAGAGCAAAGTTTTGTGCTAAGAGACATTCCATGAACGTCACACAGATGTGGAATTCAGGAAGTGCAGCTTGGGCTGTGTCACGGGGGGGCTGCTGGAAATCTCAAGTTCTGGAGGAGCAAAAGCAGAACCTGCTGTGAGTTCAGCAATGGCTCAGGACTGATCTGGAGCAGCTCTGCCAGTCCCTCTCTCACAGCTGACACCAGTACAAAAACACTTCATGTTTTCATGGAGCATTCAGCTGACAGTTCTTGCCCTTTCTTCTTTCTCCATCCGAATGTCTCTCATATTTTTTACACAAATGTATTTATTCCGTAGCTCCACTCTGTGGAGTTTAATATCTCTCCTACCTTACAACAGCATCTAGAAATACATTTTTTTATATGCAGAACCTTGGAGGTGTAAAAAAAGAACTGCAAAACCTAACTCTGTTCCTTTCCTGGCTGATTAAAAGCACAGCAGTAGGAGTTAGCTGGCTAAGAGCAATCATTAAGGATTTCTATTTAAGAGTTTCAGAAAGAGTTTCTTTGGATTCATTTTCACTTAGAGAAGTCTAATTTACCTCTTCAAATCAAACTACAGAGGGAAATAAATAAACAGTTAAAATGTGCTCTTAGAAACTACTGTTTAGTACTTCTGATTTTGCTGCAGGTGCATCTATAAATGGAAAAACGAGATTCAAAGGCGTGATGTTTAAATGTCAGTAGACTTGGGAGGCAGTGTGATAAATGGAATTGTTGTGTGTGCTGTGGGAACTGCCTCATCCAGCCTTTCTCCTGTGCTAGGACAGCTTTGTTCTGCTTTGTGCTGTTAATTATATTGGTGCCAGGACTTCTCTGTTTATCACAGACCTGCTACCTGGCTTCCAGTTTGGTGGCTGAATATTCAAGCAGCTGTTGTGATTTGGGATTACAGATACAGCGCTGTGCTAATGCAAAGTATCCGGTTTTGCTTGAATTCACTGCTTTTACAGAAAGTATATACTTAATCAGCAAACTTTGAGATTTGAGAGTGTCTCAGCTGCTAAGAATTGTCCCATATTTTTACGGCTATGTAACTTGTTTCCTGGTGATAATTACTCTTCTCATCCTTTACATTGAGATTATCCTGGAAAAATTTTAGTAGCCATATGCTGAACATGCTTTTCAACCCAAAACTAGCAATTCCAGCTTCTTTCCTTGCAGTTTCAGTAGTTTGTTTGTCCTGAGAGGAATCACTGTGTGTGGCTTGTTGCACACACAGTCAGGAGCTCTTGGATGTCCCTGTGGCTCCTGCATATGCCTTCTCCAGGCTGGGAAGAATCCAGAATCCAGAAGGCTTGCAGCACTGGGGGAAACTGTGACTAGAAAATGAACACATAGGACATAGGCAAAAATGGAGCTTGCCTCTGCTGTTAATTACCGATACAGAATTACACTTTGATTAGGAAGATGCAGTAAATCACTGTCAAGGCTCCATATTGAAGGTGATTATTGGTAATTAATTTGATAACTAGGATGTGTTTCTTGCTCCTTGTTTGCAGTATGTTATCAGTAAGCATAATAGTATTTGATTCGAAACCGACTGAAAATCATTTTCTGGCCATATAAAACAGTAACTTCTTCATTTTTCTGATGTTAATCTCTCTTTAATGGCTTCTGTGGAAGGATGTGTTTCATCATCTAGCTGGTGGCCTTAAATAGATTTTCCATTTTTTCTTGAATCTGACTTACAATTGAAGGGAGGGATTACATAAATAAGGTTTTGACTTCTGGTAAGCTTCCTATATGATGTTAACTGACTGCAGCAATCCATTTACCTTTCCCTCATCTAGGATGCAGTAACTCAGTGTATCCACCTGTGGGGGGCTGGCCCAGACTGGACAGCAGGTGCCCTCCAGAACTCCTCCTCTGGCCCTGCCCTCCTCAGCTGGAGAGGAGAAGGAAATGCAGTCACAGGCTCCTGCTACCATCCAGTGCAAAACAGACTCAGCTTGGGGCAGTTTGTTTCAATCGCAGTAGGACTGAGAAGTAAAACACCTTTCATTAATCCTGCCCTTCTTCCCAGGCTCAGCTTCACCTCTGAGCTCTCTGCCTGCCTCCCAACAGAGGCACAAGGGGACAGGAACGGAGGCACGGTCTGTTCTTCAAATGTTCCTGCTGCTCCTTCCTCCTCAGGGGGAGGATTGCTCACACTCTTCCCTGCCCCAGCTCAGGAAATCCTGACTCTGAGGCAAGGTTACATGGGAGAGAGGTGATTCAACACCCCTGTCCAGGTCCTGTGTCAAGACATGGCACGGAAAGATTTCACATCTCAAATGCTCTGTACAGGTGTGCAGAACTAGGGGAACTGCAACCAGAGAGATCATAAGCATTCCTTATGTTAGAAATTTGTCTAAATAATACTTAAAGTTGTTAATAATGTAAAAGCCTGACCTGTGTAAGTTTGGCAGGAAAAGTGCTGAGTGTAGCAGTTTGAGGGAAATACCAGCAGTACAAGCAGATGAAATTTCAAAGGTTAGAAATGCATGTGCAGGACAGGAAATAGTAAGAAGCTGTAGTTTTTGGTGATGAGGACAGCTTTCTCAAGCAGTCCTTTCAGCCCCCCCAGATTACTTCCTCACCACAGGGGCATTTCAGTAGCCAAGGAGAGGATGGTTACAAACTTGTGGAAGGCATTGTGGTGAGGTGTGCCTGGGGAGCTTGGTCACCGCACTCCTTGTTGTTCACAGTGTATAGGAACAGCAGTGTAAAGCCAGGCTGTTGTACCCGATACACATCATGTAAATGGCTCTGAAATGGAGATGGTTATTAGTGCTGTGCTAAAGTTGGATTAAACCACGTTGTGGTGCTTTGCAGAGCGCTTCACCCAGGATTTTGCCATGCTCTCCTCAGTGAGGACTGTGGCACATGACAGTATAGGCTGTAAAAATACCCAAACAGCTCAGAGAAAGAGCACATCATGTAGAGTTCTTTAGATCCTAGCTTATGGATGCTAGCTTTGGAACAGGCTGCAGGGAGCTGCAGAGACTGCAGGCCCATAGCCTCTCAGTCCTGCCTGAGAAGCTAGCCTGGGAATTCAAAGGAGGATTTCAAATCAATCCTCAGAGACAGAAAACAACTGTCAGGGGCTGTTTGTCTGTTCTCTTCTTTCCTCTTGCAGGACATGGTCAGGGGGGCAGAGTGCCCCTGACCAATGATGGTAATGTAGCACTTTGCTAGCCAATAAGAGTTTCTTTTCTGTACTTTCCACGTATCTATCTATAAGACAAGTCTGAAGGAATAAACTAGAGGATTCTCGTGTTGAAACTCCCTTGAGAGTTTGTGTCGTTCTTTCTAGCCGTTCCCAATCGGAACAACACTAGCTGATGTATTTTTCTTTCTCGTTTTCTAGGAAAAGTTACTGGATTGAAATTTTTCAGTATTCCATAACAATCCAGGAGCTCATCGTACATAAAAGTGTGTCCCTCAAAGAGCCATGGATGAACAAACTGTGAACAGGCAAAGGCTTCTTCAGAGCACCCAGCAGTCCTATCCTTCCTCTGCCTGTGAGCACGGCTAGCTTTGCTGCTCTGCTGCCTCAGGGTCCGCCCGTGCCTCGGGGTCCTCCCGTGCCCCGGGGTCCTCCCGTGCCCCGGGATCGGCCCGTGCCCCGGGGTCGGCCCGTGCCTCGGCTCCCCCAGCCTCTAAGAGGAGGGAACTTGCCCTTCCCACACCTGCTGCTTGCTCCTTTTCAGTAACCAGAAGTTCTGACTTTATCTACAGACACAAAGCGCTTCTCTGTTGTTTCCTGTGCAGCTTCTGAAGGTTACACATGAACACTGAGACAAAACCATGCCAACGTTAATGTAAGCACTGACTTGTTGAAGGCAAATGGCTCCACAGCATTGTTTGAGCTATCAGATGTTTGTCTGCATGTTGCAAAAACTGCAGCTCCTGAGGTGCCACTCTGGGGAGCAGCTGATGTGAAACACCTGAGCAATGACCCTGCTGGGCTCATCATCCCTCTCAGCTGTGCCTGAGCAGCAAAGGAGCAGCACCTGCAGGACAGTGGGCACAGCCCAGCCAGCCCCAGGCAGCCCCATTCCTGAGGAGACAAAGCACAAGGGAGAGGAGAAGGTGAAGCTCTGCTTTAGCTGCTGTCTTTGAATGGAGGAGAGGAGTTGTGAGAACACCATTTCACAGCGCTGCTTGGGCTGCCTCTAGCAGTCACTCCCAGTGAGGAAGAGGAAGGAGCAACCCCTGCTGTAAATACAGGTGTTCTGGACTGGGACCTGGAAGAGCAGCTGCCAGCCTTGGGAAAACAAGGTAAGAGAACCAGAAATAAAATCACACAAACAGATGGGCATGGGGGCATGGAGTAGCACAGCACTTCCTTGACTTTTGGTGAAGACATGTTGGAAAGTTCTAGCACTTCTTTACAGGTGTAGGATTATCCAGGATCAGAACAAACCCAGAGCAGTGGAGCCAGTTTTTGTTTTGTGACTGTTTATGGGGAGGATTGCAGCTGATGCTGCTGTGGCAGGTCCCTGGCGTGCCTTGCTGGCCTCTGGCAGGAGCAGCCCCAGCTGCTGGCTCCAGTGACCCTGGTGTGTGGCACAGGGTGACAAAGGCTGCTGTCCCCCAGGCTGTGCTCAGGACACGGGTCGTGGCAGTGTGGCTGGGCTGTGTTCAGGTGATATGCTGTCCTCTCCAGCTGTGGCTGCTCGGCCTGTTTGCCTCTGGGCAGGCTCTGTCCCCGAGTGTTGGCAGTGTTGGTGCTGCAGCAGTGAGTGAGCTCTGGCTGCAGAACAGGCCCCTGAAGCTGCCTGCTCCTGCTCCCTGGAAGCCACGGCCTCCTGGAGAATGGGGGACTGGGCTGAAATCTGGGGAGAGAACGGGTGAAACTGTGAAAGCAGATCCCTGGATTAGTGATTACACTCTGAGAATGTTTGTGTTGGAATATAGGTCAGAGTATTGGAGTCACTCTACAATCAGAAGTGTGTCTCGACTTTGAAGCAGCTATTTCTGCTATAAGGGCTGCTGCTCCCTGTGTTTATGTACCCACTCCCCATATATTTCCAAACTTTGCATTTTCTAATGCTTTCTTTGTCATTTTGATGTACTGAGTGTAGGTAGTTTGAAATTTTTATCTTTCTAGAACTGCCAGTTAATGTAGAGCTCAAATGCTACCTGAAATTATCTTAATTATGGGCACAATACAGGTCAAAGTAATTTCCATATAGGTTACCTCAATAAAAGTACCTCTTGCACTTTAAAAATAAATGCATGTTCTGCAATAGCTCCTTATTACTGTCAGTATTGAGGTGTATCAGCCAGGTAGGGCAGAGCAAGTGCTTTTGGAGACACAGATTTATCATAGTTTACGTGGCCTTGTGGCGTATGACAACTGCTAAAATTTCAAGGCTCACAGCTAGTAATGCTGGCACTGAGAAAGAGGGAAAGAAGTCATCAGGAGAGGTAATATTTTCCTGCACTGAAACCAAGTAAGGGTGGTGAGGAGAAAGGCTACTTCAGGAAGAGTCATTAAAAAAACCTGCCAGCATGGAAATGCTTTCATATTTTTCTCAATAAAAATAAAATTTGAGGATGACAGCTGAGAATTGAAACATTAGAGTCAAGAAAATGTCTTGGCCTAGGAATAACTAGGAATGAGGGGGAAAAAAGGAAAGAGGGAAATAGGTTTAAAAGTCCTAACAGCTTAGAATCAGTAAGTTAATGTTTTATACAAAGTGTTTTCATTGCCTCAGTTGCTGTTGTGGGATTAAATCAAGACTTCTTGCAACAGATAAATGTGTAATTTTATTTTGGAGAAACCCTCAGCCTCTTTTACATCATCTCTAAGAGATATATTAAAGGATTTACTGGTTTGTGTAAATCTCAGAGACAGCAGGACATCATCATTTATAACTTGTTAATAATGCATGCTGGGTGTCTTTTATTGTAGAGTGAAAGATCATTGGGTTTGTTGGTTTTTTTTAAAGAAACATTTGTTTCATTAGCAGTGTGCCTTCACAGACATCATATCCATCCTGCTCTCTTAGAAAGGTGTTGGAAAAGTTCTGGTTTAGGTCAGAATTTCTAAAACACTGACCATTACTAGAACATTCTAGATTTTCAGATGGATTTTATTCTTCAGTGTAACGTAAGTTGCCTTCAGCTACTTCAGTAGTTGTGGTCAGACACATTAATACTAATAGCAGCAGGATAGCAGTTGTCCCAGTGTGCCATTTCACAGTTCTTCCTTTGGCACTTGGCAGGCCATGCCAAGCATTTCTCTGGAGCGTGTCTCCCCTTCCCTGCCCAGCCTCCTGATGAGAGACTGCAACAGAAGCTTCTTCCCTAGCAGGCCAAAGTACTCAGCTGCTCAGTAACTACCACCTGGCACACTTGGACCAAATTGCTAATTAAATCCTCCTCCCCCCATAATTAATATAAAGTTGCAGGCTGGAATCAGAAGGATTCTGTTAGTGCCTTCTCAAGTTGCCGGCTGGAATCAGAAGGATTCTGTTAGTGCCTTCTAAATTCCATCTAACAGAGAAAATAGCCGGTGTATGGAAACAGCCTTTACTGTACCTTCCACTCTGGCATTGCAGTTTTATTCCTTGTCTTTCCTGTCCTACCCTAGAATGCTCTTACCATTTTCTTAGGCATTCCTAAAATCTGGTGGTCTGAACTTGGAAAGCTTGAAAGTATTCATGGTGCATTTGGGTTATTCGTGGTGCATTTGGGTTATTCCACAGCTTTAGGCACATGGCAATTTTCATTTCCACTTACAGTGCTGGAGACAAGCAGATGATGGTTTGAGTGAGCAAATGTTTTCAGTGTTCTTTCAGTTATTTTTGGCCTGTAGGAACCTGAGATTTCCTCGTGGGTCCTGAAATCAAGGAAATTTTTGGTACTGGCTGTGGTTCCTGCCAAGAAGTCATGAGAAAGTTGGGTTGTAGGTGCTGCAGTAATGAGCAGAGACAAATGGTTAAAATGACATTCTTGTATAATGAAATGTATTGTGCTGTGGGTGGGCTGGGCTTGTTTTCCTGAGTAAGCAGTTAAATGATTTGTAACCATTTGAATGGTACACATGAATAAAAAGAAACTGCTCTTATGTGTATTTACAAGGCCACTGGCAGGCATGTAAAACTTATTTTTGCATCAGCTTGTTCTGAATGTATCAGCTATTTATTGGGGAATTATATAGGAGAGCATTTCAAATGGAAATACAATGCCAATCTTGGTCAGATATTTTTTATTTTAAATCTCTGTTTTCAGTTCTGGGATGTGTTACCCTCTGGAATGGGAGAATTTACTGGAATCAGACCAGATATTTTTACCTTGGCTAGGAACAGTATCATTGCCTGATGTGTATTGGTGAAAAACCACATAATGCATAGGTGGAACTCTGACGTTGGGAATTGCAGGAATTTGCCCTTACAGGAAGGCTTTTTCTGCATCATCAGCTCAGGCTCTGTGATGCTCTTATGGACAGTGCCTGACACAGATGGGAGCTGTGCCTTCAGCAGCCTCAAAAGCAGGTTTTGATCACTACTTGAGGAGCTGGCTGCTATGCTCTTACCTCATTTATGTTACAAAAATTTAGTGCATTTTGTTGTTTTGCATGGAGGGGGTTCAGCGTTTCCCCAGTGATTGATAAAACACTGAAGGACTTGCATACTTGGTTTGGTCTAAATGCCTCTAAATCAAAGCTCCCAAATACACAAAGGAATGCCAACATGCAGCTTGATCAAATAAACTATCAACAGCTGACTTATAATTAGAAAAACGGTTAACTTCTGTGATGAGCAGCTCAGTTTTACTCATATTTCATCGGTCAGAAAGCACTCTGAAAACCAAAATCAGGAGGATCTGGGGCTGGTTTCAGCACAAAGACGTGGCCAGGGTCTCCTGTGCAGCCATCAGTGAGCAGGAGGACCCCAGCAAAGAGGTTGTGGATGCTACAGTTTGGAGAAATTCAAGGAACTAAGTTCATGGAAGATGTGGCTGTGAAGAGATGTTGAATTTGTAGAAATACCATCCAAGTCATGACATCCCTAGGCCAAAAATAGTTGACTGTAGGGTTTACCTTAGAAGTGCTTATTGCCACTCTTGGAGGCAGGATGACCTTTGTCTGACAGAGTGCTGCTTTTGTGATGGTAAAGTTCTAGTCTCATTTTGCAGCTTGTACTGGCAGAGGAGTTGGAGTCACTTCTGTAGCCCAGATCATGTAAGATTTATTACAGAGTAATTCACTTAGGGGCCCCAGGGCTTGAAATACCAGTCCAAAAAGGAGAGAACTCACTACAGTATTTTTTTTTTTAAACAGACATGCTGTGATCTTGCTTATTTTCTAACCATGATTTGTTGGCATCTTGCAGCCTTACCCACTCAACTGACCTGTTAAAATGCACACTGAATTCCTGTTGAACTGTAGGAATATATAATATCTTTACAGAACTCACAGAATTTTTACACAGATAAGTGGAAATTAGAAATCTAGTTTTACACTGAAAAAATTTCTCTGAATTGCAGGACTGTATTAAGCCTTTTCTGCAAAGGTCAAGCTGCGTTCACGACCTGAACATTCTTCACAAGAATCTGCTTTAGAATCTGTAATTTTTCTTGGGCATTGCTTTCACTGCTTTATTTCTGTCCCCTCAGTCCCTTTGTTTAGGAGAGTAAAATAATGAATTTATGAGAGCAGCAAGTGTCTGGTGGGTGCTCTGATACTCAGCAGGTGTAGTGTGGTTTGTGTCTCACAAGCAGGTGGCTTTGGTGGTCTGGGCAGATTTGGTTTGCAGGGCGAGTGTTCAGGTCAGGAGCCTGGCCCTGTCCCACTGGCACTTGGGGACAGTGAGGAGCATCCCTGTCCCTCCCTGGGGCACTGCAGTGCTTCCCTGCAGGGCTCACAGCTCCTGCTCAGGAGCCCTGGCTGGCAGCTCTGAGCCAGAGGACATGGTCACCTTGTCCCTCTGCACTTCTGGGGCAGCTCCAGCAGCTCGTGGCTCCCAGGGAAACTCCAGTCTACCTTCAGTGTGTGTGTCTGGCACACAAACATCACAGAATGCACTTCATGCTTACCTGAAACTGTTCTGATTAAAAACAGGAGATTTCCCAGTTAAATACCCCACATGGGTCAATAGGGACAAGGTTTCTTCATACCTAGAGTGAACAAAAATTTGTTGTGTGCCTGTTTCTGTTTTCAAAGTAATCCTGTGAAGGAGAAGGCAGAGATGCTTTCCATCCCCTCTAGTTTACTCTCCCCAAACACTGTTGGTAGACATCTTAACCAGGCATCATCTTTGCCTGTTCTT